CCCAGATAGCCGAACGGAAACACAAAACCAAAACAAGGGAGCAACAGGGAGAGAACCCGCAGTCAAACCCAAAAGGGTCAGTCCAGGACCGCAGGTCCAGCCCTGAAAAGGCCTCGGTGGCTGAGAAGCCGCCATCTAGTGCGGCTGAGAGGCCGCCATCTAGTGCGGCAGAGAGACCGCCATCTAGTGCGGCTCAGAGTCCGCCATCTTGTGCGGCCCAGAGTCCGCCATCTTGTGCGGCTCAGAGTCCGCCATCTTGTGCGGCTCAGAGTCCGCCATCTTGTGCGGCTCAGAGTCCGCCGTCGTGGGCGACGTGGTGGCGGAGGCCATCGTGGGCGCCGTCGTGGCGGCGGCCATCGGGGCGCAGTCGTGGCGGCGGCCATCGTGGGCGGTGTCGTGGCGGCGGCCATCGTGGGCGGTGTCGTGGCGGCGGCCATCGTGAGCGTAGTCGTGGCGGCGGCCATCGTGAGCGTAGTCGTGGCGGCGGCCATCGTGAGCGTAGTCGTGGCGGCGGCCATCGTGAGCGTAGTCGTGGCGGCGGCCATCGTGAGCGTAGTCGTGGCGGCGGCCATCGTGAGCGTAGTCGTGGCGGCGGCCATCGTGAGCGTAGTCGTGGCGGCGGCCATCGTGAGCGTAGTCGTGGCGGCGGCCATCGTGAGCGTAGTCGTGGCGGCGGCCATCGTGAGCGTAGTCGTGGCGGCGGCCATCGTGAGCGTAGTCGTGGCGGCGGCCATCGTGAGCGTAGTCGTGGCGGCGGCCATCGTGAGCGTCGTCGTGGCGGCGGCCATCGTGAGCGTCGTCGTGGCGGCGGCCATCGTGAGCGTCGTCGTGGCGGCGGCCATCGTGAGCGTAGTCGTGGCGGCGGCCATCGTGAGCGTAGTCGTGGCGGCGGCCATCGTGAGCGTCGTCGTGGCGGCGGCCATCGTGAGCGTCGTCGTGGCGGCGGCCATCGTGAGCGTCGTCGTGGCGCGGCCTTCGTGGGCGGCGATGCGGCAGCCATTGTGGGCGGCGATGCGGCAGCCATTGTGGGCGGCGATGCGGCAGCCATTGTGGGCGGCGATGCGGCAGCCATTGTGGGCGGCGATGCGGCAGCCATTGTGGGCGGCGATGCGGCAGCCATTGTGGGCGGCGATGCGGCAGCCATTGTGGGCGGCGATGCGGCAGCCATTGTGGGCGGCGATGCGGCAGCCATTGTGGGCGGCGATGCGGCAGCCATTGTGGGCGGCGATGCGGCAGCCATCTTGGGCGGCGATGCGGCAGCCATTGTGGGCGGCGATGCGGCAGCCATTGTGGGCGGCGATGCGGCAGCCATTGTGGGCGGCGATGCGGCAGCCATTGTGGGCGGCGATGCGGCAGCCATTGTGGGCGGCGATGCGGCAGCCATTGTGGACACTGGCGTGACGGCGGCAGCCATCTTGGGCGCTGGCGGGACGACGGCAGCCATCTTGGGCGCTGGCGGGACGACGGCAGCCATCTTGAGCGCTGGCGTGACGGCGGCAGCCATCTTGGGCGCTGGCGGGACGACGGCAGCCATCTTGAGCGCTGGCGTGACGGCGGCAGCCATCTTGGGCGCTGGCGGGACGACGGCAGCCATCTTGGGCGCTGGCGTGACAGCAACAGCCATCTTGAGCGCTGGCGGGACGGCGGGAGCCATCGTGGACGCTGGCGTGACGGCGGCAGCCATCTTGGGCGCTGGCGTGACGGCAACAGCCATCTTGAGTGCCGGCGGGACGACGGCAGCCATCTTGAGCGCTGGCGGGACGGCAACAGCCATCTTGAGCGCTGGCGTGACGGCGGCAGCCATCTTGGGCGCTGGCGGGACGACGGTAGCCATCTTGGGCGCTGGCGGGACGGCAGGAGCCATCGTGGACGCTGGCGTGACGGCGGGAGCCATCGTGGGCGCTGGCGTGACGGCAACAGCCATCTTGAGCGCCGGCGGGACGACGGCAGCCATCTTGAGCGCTGGCGGGACGACGGTAGCCATCTTGGGCGCTGGCGGGACGACGGGAGCCATCGTGGACGCTGGCGAGACGGCGGCAGCCATCTTGGGCGCTGGCGGGACGACGGCAGCCATCTTGAGCGCTGGCGGGACGACGGCAGCCATCTTGAGCGCTGGCGTGACGGCAACAGCCATCTTGAGCGCTGGCGGAACGGCGGGAGCCATCGTGGACGCTGGCGAGACGGCGGCAGCCATCTTGAGCGCTGGCGTGACGGCAGGAACCATCGTGGACGCTGGCGTGACGGCGACCATCTCAGGCGCAAGCGTGGTGGCGACCATCTCAGGCGCTGGCTCCTGTAAATCCAGCCATGTCCTCCACCACGTCCTAATAATGGCCGTGGGCTGGTCATCCAACCCCTCCGGGGGTTTTTCTGTCCCTGTCGTCGGCGGCAGAAAAGGGTCTTCCCACGGCGGGGGTAGTGGCTGTAGCTCCAGGGGTTTTCCTCCCCCTGTCTGCAGCCCCGGAGCAGTGGGTGGCCGTTCCTGCAGCACCAGGACCGTGGGTGTTCTCTCCGCGGTCCTCCCGGAACACCTCCTTAGCTCCCCCCCAAAAACCTTCTTGGGACGCCTTCGGGGTGCCCTCTTGCCTTCCTCCGGGAAGGACCGCGGACCCGATGTAATCAGCCCTGATAGCTGCATAGGTGGCTCATACCCGAAGTAAGCACGGAGGCGCCTATACTCCTCTTCGGGCGTCTCCGGCTTACCCCAGTCCCACTGCTCCGTGGTGCGACGGTGGCTTCTTTGTGGGTTCAGCATTCTGTCATAGATTGACCGGCGTAGTGTGGTGTAGCAAGCCATATGCAGAGCCAGGTATCCGTTCAGTCGTTTTATTATAAGTAAATCAACATAAAACAAACCGTGAACGGCGAAAAACTAAACTGTTGAAATCAAAATGCGCATATAGCGACTTAAATGTATATATTACACAACGATGACAACAGCAGTAAAATAACCCCACTCACCTCCAAAGCAACCGTGACATACAAACAATGCTGAACAAGGAGTGACTTGTTAGCTCCCCTTTTATAGCCCAGTAGAATACAATCAGAAACAGCTGAGTGACAAAACATAAACAAGGAAGTGAATCACCGAAAGGTCTGTGTAGCCACGCCCCACACCAATCGTGACAATAAAATCATTCCCAAAGCTACCGTTTCCCGTTGAAAAATATGCTAGTTGTGCATTATGCCATGAACTGGTAGCCTGTGCAAAGTCTTGCATAGCCAATAACTAACTGAATCTACAAGATCAAAGTCTTCTGTGTGGCAGTATTAACCCAGGGGTTGGAAAAGGCAATATTGGAAAAACAAGAAAATATGGCTGTATTACACTATTGCGCATTATGTTTCCTGTTCGTTCCTCATTAAAGTCACACAAAATGGAAAATATCACGGGTTCCTATATCCGACCGTGATATAAAATGGTGTATGTTTTTTACAACTAAACTTTTACCAAATGCTCACAGCAGTGACTGAAACCATGAATAGAGCGAGAGCTGATTTCATTGATCCAAACAGGAAATGTGTGAAACTAATTGTAGTTGAGCTCTGTGGCTATTCTCCTCACCTCCTCACCATTTCCTCACACTGCCACTCTAAAGCTCTTGCCTGACAACTCAGATTGAATGGAATTCTGCTCAAATGCTCAGAATTTGTGCTGACGTAAAAATTATTGTGTTGTACTAATCAAGTTCAACAATGTCTGGATCATCTCTAACCAATCCAGTAGCATAAACTTATTTTGGCACACTTCTCTGGCCAAACCCATTGGTACAGCGCCGCCGTTCCCACCACGAGCATCACACGCTGTGCGTAGGGCACCAAGTGCTGGGGGGGGCACCAAGTGCTGGGGGGGGCACCAAGTGCTGGGGGGGGCACCAAGAATAGTCATAACAATTATAATGCCGATACTATTTGGTAGTAGGCTGTCAATTCTTTGGGAAATGTCCCCTAAAAGACAGCAGGAGTCAGGATCAGAGAAGAGAGAGAAGAACAAACTGCAAAAACAACGTTTTTTCCTCGGGTTGGTTGGGGGGGGGGCATCATAAAGGAATCATGCTTAGGGCACCAAAATGGCTAGCAGCGGCACTGCATTGGTATCTTGGACAAATGTAATTATGTGTTTGCATTCAACAAAAGGTCGAAATAAAAAGCCAATCTAAACATCCCAACTAGCCGCAGCAGTGAGGAAGAATATTCTGTTTTCTGATCGAACATATTTCATAACTCTGTAATGTAATAGCACAATTATGTTAACAGATCAGGAAAATATGAATCGTATTAATTAATGAATGGACGGACATAAAACACCCTGACTACAAACTCTCCACTGGAAAACCGTGCTGAGATTGTCATGCTTCATCAAAGATTACTAAGATAATTGTCACAAAATCCCTTGTAGAGCATTTTGTTGGGTTCTATAAGCAATCCAAATGCCAAAGTGTGCCAGAATTACATGTTTAATAAAAGATTCAACAGCCAATGAATCAGTTGGTGCTGTTGGTGTAGCTCAGTGATAGAGTGCATGTTGGTGTAGCTCAGTGGTAGAGTGCATGTTGGTGTAGCTCAGTGGTAGAGTGCATGTTGGTGTAGCTCAGTGGTAGAGTGCATGTTGGTGTAGCTCAGTGGTAGAGTGCATGTTGTTGTAGCTCAGTGGTAGAGTGCATGTTGGTGTAGCTCAGTGGTAGAGTGCATGTTGGTGTAGCTCAGTGGTAGAGTGCACGTTGGTGTAGCTCAGTGGTAGAGTGCACAGTGGTGTAGCTCAGTGGTAGAGTGCACGTTGGTGTAGCTCAGTGGTAGAGTGCACGTTGGTGTAGCTCAGTGGTAGAGTGCACGTTGGTGTAGCTCAGTGGTAGAGTGCACGTTGGTGTAGCTCAGTGGTAGAGTGCACGTTGGTGTAGCTCAGTGGTAGAGTGCACGTTGGTGTAGCTCAGTGGTAGAGTGCACGTTGGTGTAGCTCAGTGGTAGAGTGCACGTTGGTGTAGCTCAGTGGTAGAGTGCACGTTGGTGTAGCTCAGTGGTAGAGTGCATGCTCTGTTTTTATGATGTCCTGGGTTCAATCCCCAGCTCCTCACCAGGTCGCCGTTGCAAATGAGAATTTGTTCTCAATCGGCCTACCCGGTTAAATAATAAAATACAATCTAAAATCAACCAGATGTATATTTTCAAAAGAATATGAATTCACAAAGTAAAACCAAATCCAATACTGTGTTCATGTGTTTTCAATATTGTTCAGGCTTAATTGAACTTTCAATTTGGTTGTTTTCTCTGCACTTTTCCACTTTTTTATTACCAGTTAAGGCAAAAATATGTCCTCTACTGACAGAAATAAATGTCATTTTTTTAGCACACACAACACTGACTCCGAAACACTGTTTTGCACAACTGTGTATAACTAAATATTGCACATTGATTTCTCATTAGGCGGTTGTTCATGAGATATGTGTAATATTTAAGTGGTTAGACCAGAGCTGTAGTACTCGAGACCGGTCTCGGTCTCGAGACCGGTCTCGAGACCACTTTTTAAGGTCTCGGTCTCGTCTCGGTCTCGGTTACATTTGGACTCGGTCTCGACTCGGTCTCGGACAGTAAGGACTCGTAAATTCCTCCGAGACCAGCCGAGACCAGCGTAGAAATTATCGCCCACAATTTTTTCTAGCAAAATATTTAAGTATGACATGTAGAGGCTGTATTTCCATTGGCTGTATTTCGTCTAGAGTCAGACTGTTTTTTTCTGATGTGGCTTATCCCGCCAATGGCTATCTACTTTTGAAGAAAAGCCCACCCCCAGCGTCGCTAGAGCGTGCACCCATTCACGTAAATACTTCAATCTTAAACATATGCTCGATCATGTCTGCACAATCTGCCATTATATTCGTTTTGCCTATATTCAGCACACTGAGCACAAATAAATAATTTGTCCGAAAACACACAGCGGTTAGTAATTAAAATACATATATAATGTTGAAAATCTACAGCCGACGTCCTTCCATGACTTTTCCTAAATACGTGCATTTTACCTTGTCCCGTTTTCAGAATTGCAAAATCACAAACCGAACAATATATAAAACTACTATTTACATGTTTTTTGATACCTAAACTGCCTTCCTGTCGCCAAAATCCCACGCCGCTGGGCGTTGGTACCCTAATTGCGGTACCCAGACACCGATCACACTTCACTGAGCCTATGATGGCAATGGTTGAATGGGCGATACACAGACAAATACTACGAGAACACATATAGACAATAGTCTGATTGGCTTGGTTGAACTACAAAAAAGAGGTACGTTTATAAAGAAATATGTTTCACTAAATAAACAGAACGAATTCCGCCAAATACATACAGCCCCATTCATGTGTCATGCGCCTATTGCACTCAATAATTAATAACGAATGAACCACAGTGTATTCATATAGCCTACAAGAGACTTCAACAAAATATTGTTTTATATCGAAATTAAACGAATATAAACAATAATTATTAATAGGCTTACTACAAATGGGCGATAAATGAAATTACTCATGCACACAGAAGGACGTGGGACATAAGTCCGGGGGCATACGGCAGAAAGATCATAAAACTAGACCGGTTATGGTCCAATCTATATCAAACTGGACCCGTTTTGGTCCGATCTTCATTAAACTGGACGGGTTTCGGTCTGATCTATATGAACACTGCTGCTGTCTCATGTGCACTCGTAACAAGACTAATGAACACTGTGCGCATTGCAACCGGTTCGTTTGCGTGTCCTGCTCAAGCAGACAAACAACTGAAGCTGCGTGCCTGTGGACGGATAAATAATTATAAATAGATTTGTTTATCGGCCAATCATGCGCAAATCATTTGATTGCAAGTCGCTTGTGATCTAAAACGTGTTAACATTTACTACATCAACATAGGAGATACAGTTTGATGGATTTTCATTTATTCGATTTTTAAAATTTTAATATCATAGCCTGTGCATTTTAAAATCATGGTTTTATTTTCGTATTGTATGGTTACATAAGACAATAAATAGGCCTACATACTCTTTTAATAAAATTCATTTCATTCAGGATGACAACACAGTAGATGATCTGATGCTGTTGGTCAAGTGTTTTTTACATTGGTCACTGGACCAAAAACATGTGATATTATTTAGTGTTGATATGACTGGTCTCGGTCTCGGCCCCCTTCGGTATCGGTCTCGTCTCGGTCTCGGCCCCCTTCGGTCTCGGTCTCGTCTCGGTCTCGGCCCCTTCGGTCTTGGTCTCGTGTCGGTCTCGGCCCCCTTCGGTCTCGTCTCGGTCTCGCTTTAGGTGGTCTCGAGCACAGCTCTGGGTTAGACTATTACATAAAACCTAACAACGCTACACAAGTGTTTGGTCATTATAACGTCTAAATAACATGAAACTAATATATGAGTCGTTACTCTAGTACATAAAACCTAGATATACAAGTGTTTGGTCATTATCACGTCTAAATAACATGAAACTAATATAATATGAGTGGTTAGACTAGTACATAAAACCTAAAGATATACAAGTGTTTGGTCATTAAAAAGTCAATATCACATGAAACAAAAGTATTCAAAATGTTGCCATGACAAATACTGCATGTTTTCTTCAAATTAACCCTCTGTAGAGTGTTTCTATTAGCCAATTGTATCCCTGTTTATTTGTACGACTTTATATTTTCGGAATATATGTTACACTGCGCAATTTCAGTGCCAAAATAATACAGCCTGTTATAGTGTATGTTAATGGTGGGTTGTGCTTCAGACTGCATGTTTAACAATTTTTAAGTGATACTGAAGGATAATGAATACACTCTTGTGATTGGCCAAATGACACAATTGCAGACATTGATATTATAATTCCTGTACTATCTGACTTGCAGCTCCCAACTCCCTATTGAGGTAAAACACTCACACCTTTTCACTATTACTCTGAGGTCCATGTGTGTGGTACCCCACTGCTCTCTAAATCACTCAAACCTTTTCACTATTACTCTGAGGTCCATGTGTGTGGTACCCCACTGCTCTCTAAATCACTCAAACCTTTTCACTATTACTCTGAGGTACATGTGTGTGGTACCCCACTGCTCTCTAAATCACTCAAACCTTTTCACTATTACTCTGAGGTACATGGGTGTGGTACCCCACTGCTCTCTAAAACACAGACTTATGCGCTGCACTCACTTTCCAGTCTGAAGAACACTGCGACTCTCATTCTCTGTTTTAAACCTGCATGGCCGAGACTGCACCTCATCCTCTGGTGTATAAGCAGACGTCCTACTGAATGTTTAATGATCCCTTTTTGCACATTGGGTCCGTGTGTTCTAACTGTCACCCATTTCCCATTCTTTGCTGTGCCTTTGACTTTCCTTTCACTTGTGCCAGTTTGCCCTCAATCACCAAAACCATCTATCAGTGTTGTGACTAATGACTTAGCTGTGAACACCACCACATAAACAATGATCCAAGACATCATATGAGTAACAACCAAACTTAACTAAACCATAAATACCTTTAATATACAGTCGGGGTGTGTTCCGTTTCTTTGTGTCGGCAGTGACCTCCTTTACTAGAGACACAAATATCGCTGGCAAGACAATTTTTTGAGATGGGTAGAAATCCGCACCGGAAAATAAGCAAAGAAGTTCAAAAAAAGATATAGTCCCTTTTCAAAATGACATGTTCAGCTCTTCCCACCCTATAACTGAGTGTCATTGAGACCCAGAGAAGCTGCACTGTGTAGAGCAGCCTATACTTCAGGGGGGGTCTGACAACCTCTCTCTCTCTCTCTCTCTCTCTCTCTCTCCCTCTCTCTCACACACACACACACACACATACATTCTTACCTAATCTACACCCCCTCTATAGCTCTGTCTTTATGTCTCCCTTGTGCACAGACACACACACACACACACACGCACACACACACACACACACACACACACACACACACACACACACACACACACACACACACACACACACACACACACCAGCACATTCCCTCTCCACTAAGGCTCATTCAAACAGCAACACTCTCTAGCTCTTTTCAACTGGTACAGTAGGTTGATTTTAGTCCTTCACTCTCCTCCCTCACTCTTTAGCTTCACCCATGCTCCTCTTCAACCACTGTCTCCCTCTCACACACACTTGGCACTCACACTCATATTTTTCCAAACAGTCAAATTAAGGCTCTCTCCGTTCCTGGTCTCTTTGATGCTCAGTGGGGTTCAAAATCACTCACATCATTGATGAAGTTAAAATGATATTCTCTCTCGCCCTCTCTCGTCACATCAATTTAGTGGGACTGGTTTTGGGACAGGTAAACGGGCCGTTTCTAGCCTTAAGGGACTTCTGAAGATGAATTGGCTGGTGCACAAACATTTATGGTCCCTCTTCTTGATGGCAGGGGAAAATCTGTGTTTCAGTTCATTAAATGAAAATCCAAATTTTGGGGTCATGTATTATAGATGAGATGAGATTTGTTACAAGCACTAATATCATGTTAGAAACAACTTTTGTTCAATTAGCTTTAGCTTTATAATTATTTAAATTGTATCTTAACAATCCGTGAATTAACCGGGTCTCCCACAGGAACCTGGACAACTAACCGTGTCATAGACACACTAATAAGTATGCTGGAACAGCGTTGGATGGGTTCCCATTAAAACAAATGCATCAGGTATAAGTATTAGAAGGATATGAAGGTGAACTTGACATATCCAGGCTCTGAAACACTGTTTCACAGTGCATAATGATATTATAGACCTTCATAAGGGCTCTCCGATTATAATTCTCTGTTCTTTGAACATGCAATGGCACACTTGTTGTATTTAATACACTCCAGCTACATTCCAGACCTACAGAAGTGCGCTCTCTGGTTTTACTGTCCTATATCCTGATTCTGAGAAACAAGCTTTTCTCGTGCCTTCTGAGTTAACCAATCCGATGCCAAAGGGAAGGAGAATAAGTGGGTCACGGGCAGATGGAGGAGAGAGTGGGGATTGTGTGTGTGTGTCTGGGGTTTGTGTGTAAAAAGACAGACATATACGATTCAATGATTTGGATGAAAGTGTTA